TGTGCACCGACGCACCCCTTCTCCAGCCATGCTGAGGCCGCGTCCCACGTACAGCAACTAGAAGGATGTGCAACTGTGACATACAACTATCTACTGGGGCTTTGGGGGAAAAAAAAAAAGTTCTGGTTAAAGTCACTGGTGACCTCCAAGTTGCTAAATTTAGTGGTCATTTCTCAATTCTCATTTTACTTGACCACATTTTTTTTCTTGACTCCAGGACACGCATCCTCCTGGATTTACTCCTGCATCTCCAGCTGAGTCTTGGGCTCCTTTGCAGGCTCCTCCTCAGCCCCTGACCTCTTATTGGCAGAGAACGCCAGGACTCGGCTCCTGTATTTTTCTGTCCACCTGCATTTCTAAGAACAGTCTTATCTATAGCTTTGAATACCGTCTATATGCTGATGGCTCCTGACGTCTTCCCCTGCTCAGACCTCTTCCCCTGTTCAGACCTCTTGCCTGAGCTCCAGACTCGTATATCCAGCTGCCTACTTGCCGTCTTGACCACCTGCGTTCAGATGTCCAGTGGGCATTTCAGGCTTAACAGGTCGAGAATCAAACACCTGACCCTCCCTCCCCTCAGATGTTTCTCCTTAAATCTCCATCTGTGTACATTGCAGCTTCATCCTTCAGTGGCTCAGGATTTCTGTCCTTGAAGAATCCTGCTTCTCTCAAAGCCAACATGAAATCCCTCAGGAAACCCTCTCGGTTTTACTTTGACAGGGTCTTGACTCAGATCCCTCTCACACCCTCCACTCTTATCTCCACCTGCATTATTACAGCAGCCCTCACAGGTATCCCTGCTTTGCCTGGCCCTTGTAGTCTATTCTGAGCACCACAGCCAGGGTCATTCTTTTAAATGTAAAGCACCTGTGTCTCTGCTCCAGCCACACACATTCGAACTCAGCATGTCTGAAACCACGCTCCTGACCTCCCGTTCCTCCCTGCACACACACCTAGCTCAGAGCACAAGCCCAGAGCCCTTGTCACCTACCGGGACCAGGAGGTCCGACCTCACATTACCTCTCAGGTGCCCCTGCACCTCCCTGACCCTATTAGCTGCCCCTTGCTTGTCCCCTCCACTCAACCACACTGCCTTCCTCACTCATCATGGTGTATGTGGGTTGTCCTGTCTGACCAGCAGGCTCTTATCCACATGGCTGCCTGCCTTACCTCTTCAGGTCTCTCTGTGTTCAGTTGTCACTTCATCAGTGGGGCCTTCCCTGCCTACCTTCAAGATCACAGCACCACCCCCTTCCCTCCCTATCCCCCTTCTCTGCTTTACTTTTTATATATTTTTTTATAATTTTATTTATTTCCCTCAAAGCCCCAGTAGATAGTTGTATGTCATAGTTGCACATCCTTCTAGTTGCTGTACGTGGGACGCAGCCTCAGCATGGCTGGAGAAGCGGTGCGTCAGTGCGCGCCCGGGATCCGAACCCATGTCGCCAGCAGCGGAGCGTGCGCACTTAACCGCTAAGCCACGGGCCCGGCCCTCTGCTTTACTTTTTATATTTTGCTTATTTGTTCTCTTCTCCCTCTGCTCTAGATTATAAAATCCATGATGGCAGAGATTTGTGTCTCTTGTTCCCTGCTGAATCGCCCAGCATAAGAATGCTTGTTGCTTGTTAGTCAATAGGTATTTGTTCAATGAGTGAATGAATGAATGAGGAAGGTAGTTAGGGGGAAGAAGAGACCAATTAGAAGCACAGAATCCACATGGGGAGGCTAGTTTAATAGTTCTTGCAAAAGACCATTCATTCCTTCTAATTTATACGTGTCTTTCCTTGAGTAGTCATTTTCCCTTTTGAAAAATGCATTATTCTTTCTCATTGAAACATAAACCCCTTGGGATCAAGGACTAAATTCTTATACCTTTCTGTTTCCCCAGCAAATAAATGTTCAGTAGTAAGGAAAGGTAATTCTTATTTGGCTAAAAGTGCTCAAATCATTCAATGTATTTTTTAGTCTTTTTTCGTTACACTAACATTTTCCACTGTTACTCTCTTATTTATTTGATATTACAGAATTTGCATATCTTCCCATTGAATACTCTTGCAAAGCAAAGAGTCTTTAGAATAAATAGGGTTAATCTTCAAAGTGGTAACTACAGTAGTACCAAGATTAGTGGTTGCTTCAGTGTGAGCCCAGTGGAAGTACTGTCGCTTCAGCCGTGGTCTAACCTGCTCACAAACACCACATGGCAACTATCACATGTCACAGCTTTAATCAACTCCAGGGCAAGAATCATTCCACTCTAGCAGATGGACATGAATTTAACCAGACAATAAACCATGTATGTGCCATAAATATGTTTGCTGAGGGCATGTTTCCCAGTACAGAACTTTAAGAACAGCTGTCTTATCATGAGCTACTGTTTCTTGGTGAGATGATTTGTTAGCCTAATTCTGAAACAGATGACACTTATAAAGTTAATCTTTCATAGCTTCCCCACTACCAGCAGCCTAGTTATTTTGGGGGCAGTTTTTATAAACAGAAGTTATTTACATGAGATTTTTTAAAACTAATGACGTGTTTTCCTTTGCAAATTCGGTGTCATTTGTCTAAAAGGGCTTGTTACCTTTTGTGTGTTACCAGGAGGTGCAAATCATTAATTGCGAGCAGTCATTTTTTTTTTCTTGATGCTTTTTCTTTTCTGTTAAATTATTGTATAAACTACTACTTAAATGGTTTTAGCTGTACCGTTCTTTAAAAAATACAGTTCGTCTTGCCACTTCTTTCTGTCGTTGTCTTCAGAGAAGGTGTTTTCATTCTCTCAGCATTGCTTTCCCTGTGGAACCTCTGCAAACTGAACTGTGAGGTAGCTGTCCACGGTGCCTTCTTCGGGGGCGGCTTCTATTGGCGCACATTTTCACTGGCACAATCCACCAGGCAAAGCATAAGTTGCTGGAAAACTGGAAGAGCGTTTGAATGAATAAAGCAGATGTTCTCTTAGCATGAAGCAGATGTAAAACTTGCAAGTGTCTGTCTAATAAAGTATAGCATTTGGTTCTCTACAGCTGGTGCCAAGATTACCAATTAATCACGTTTGAATGCATTTTTACTAATTAGGTCCCCCTCTGTTTTTACACATTCTGGGTGTATTAAAGAGAGGGATGAGGCACAAAAGCTTTCTACTTTAGGTACTTTGAGCAGTGTTTTTTTCTTTTTCCCCATCTTTATGAAGTCAGTCTTCTTTTATTCTTAGAACCGTGGCGGATATGCAGCCCCTTACATGTGCATGACTGATTTGACTCTCCAGTTTGACTTGGGGATGCAGGTTTGGTGTTAGAGTTTTCCATTGAAGGCAGCTGTACTTTGAACATGCAGCTGGAGAGAAGGAAAGGAATGTAATTAAACTTAATGGGGTTTTTTTTTCTTTTTTGCATGGACACAAGCTAGTATTTGCTCAGTTAACGTCAATTTATAGCCTCTAGGGTTACTTGACCAAGGAGAAGCTTGGACATTCTAGAAATGACTGATACCAGTTTAGTTTTGTCATCAAAAGTAGTAGAGCAGTTTTTCTGAAAGGTTTAAGATGGATAGTTTAACATGACTGCTAAGAAGAGTTGCCTTTACTGCTGTGAATGATACAACACAAATCAGTAGTAAGTGGAAAAGCTGCAAGAACTGCCTCATTTTATATTGTCCTTTATAAAGCAGGTGTGTTAATGAAATTAAATTTCAGAACCTGACGGGGCCTTTTTTTCATATTTGATTTCCCCAGAATAAATTTGTTTTCTATGAAAGGAGGCTCGTTATTGAGGAGGTTTGCTAACTTACCTCTCCTCCCTTTTTTTTTAAAAAGAGCTAACAACAATAAAACATAGTTTGTTTTTCAAGGTCAATAATTGGATGTTTATGCTCCAATAATTGAGTATTTCTTCAATGCTTTAGTCATGAGTTGATTTATAATACTTTTTTTAAAGGATAGGAGAAGTATTTAAAGAGTATAAGAAATAGATTAAATAATTTACAGGTCTGAAGATAAATAACATGAATGGTTCTTTTAATGAAATGGTTATTAGTATTTGAAAAATACTTGGAGGTAGGGAAAACAAGGATGTGTTAAAAGAAGCTTATCCCCTAGAAAGTTTAGTGTTCATCATCTTCCCCCAGTAAAGTTGGGTGTGTGGAAATGGATCTGCTGTAATAGGAAAAAACACAAGTGGAAATGCATTTTAGACAACGCATGGCAGATTCTGGAGCGTGTGTTTTGAGCACTGGTGTAGAAGAATCTGTGCTGACATAGAGTATAATTGTTTGTTCATTTCTACTGTCACATGTGTATGAAATATAGGATCTAAGAGTATTAATAAGATTATTCTAGGAAGTCTTCCCCATCCTCATTACCAGTTGCCTCCATATTTTATGTTAATGATTTAAATTTTAAATTTCATAAAAACATCTTATAATCAAATTGACTAATAGCTATTACTTTAAATTTTCAGTTCTTCTAAAATTTAATATTTAGGGAAAAGCAGTTTAGTATTTCTAGTATCCATTTTCCTACATGAACATCTTTCTACCAAGGTTACACCTGGCAAGGTAAACTTCACATGGAAAAGATCTGCTCCGTTTTGCTAAGAATACCTTACATTCTTAGAATAAAAAGAAAATTATTAATCTTATATAATATTGTTAGCTTTTAGGCAGGTGTCTAATGCAATTATAGTTCTTTTCATTTGGGAGGCTTTTTTATACTGCTCCTATTTTTTTTTCCTCACTGATTACATAAGAATGATAGTGTTTTTTTTTTTTTAAGTTTTAATTTGTGTGAAATAAAAAACATTAACTCTGAAACATCAACTTAAATGGAACTAGTTGTCTCCATTTTTTAAAATAGTTTGTTATGGAAAATGTTAAACATCCACAAAGGTAGAGAGACTAGTATAATAAACCCCTATAATATACACCCAGCTTCAACAATTATCAGTCTTCTGTTGTTTTTATTTGCCGAGCTTTCTTAAGACAATATTTTCAGAGTTTTTTTTTCTTTTAAGTTGTAGTTCTGTATCCTGTTTCTACAGTGACAGTAGATCTTTAAAGAAACTAGGTCATGTAACCCAGTCGAGCTACCTTCTTTTCAGGAAGTAGAGCGGGAGATCTCCTTCAGGACAGAGTGTGGACTGTACTACTCCTACTACAAGCAGATGCTGCAGGCTCCCACCCTCACACAAGGTAATCACAGCTACTGCATCCGGGCTGCTGCGTTCTTCTCAAAGGGTCAGCCACCGCAGACTTCTGCACTAAAGCATTTTCAATGCTTTATAGAACTTGGGTTGTTTTTCTTTGAACTTGTGTGGTTTTTCTTTGTTAACACAATCAGTCCATGAAAATGTTTTGCTCTGGAAGAAGTTATATAATACTGTCTGTAACTCTCTTCTCCTTGCCTCTCAGCTCTACTCTATCCCAAAATTAATCTGTGTGTGATTTCTTGGTTTTACTGCTGATTTTTCTCATGATCATTTTGGAAAAGGTCTTTGCAGGTGAAAGGAGTATTGTCTAAAAACAGGAGGCATTTTGGTAATACAAATGAAAATTACAGTTGTCCCTCTTAGCCCTAATGCCCCCATTCATTCTTTTATTTTGTAATTGCCACTTTTCCACGTTTTCACTGTTTCTAAGTGCTTTAGAGCCCATACTCTTTATCTTCACTCCATCTAATGGAAGCCCCAAAAAGAATCGGTCCTACTTAATATGTGCTTGATATGCTTAACATGGGTACACATGGCAGAAAATTGCCCTTTTCTAAGCTTGGCTTAGATTCAGATATATCTTTGGCAAGAATTCTTCATAGGTGATGTTTTGTACTTCTAATTTTATCGCAGTAGGAGACACGGAATTGTATCCTTTTTTGTGCCATAAAAATTAATCCATTGATTCTTGTGTAGATAGCCAGATTCACCCATAATATGGTTAATTACCCATCAGCCTTTCACTTAATGGTTTTAGCAGCCATTGATGATTATCGCCTATATCCATTTCAATAGAGTTACAAAAGCGACATTCTGCTTCTATCATTCCTCCTGTATTTATTAGCTGGAACTCTGTGATATAGAAAACCTTTTTATCATCAACTATTTGATTACCTTCAGGTACAGTTTATATAAGAAAAGCAAGATAAGTGTTGATTTTTTTTTTTCCTGTATAGTCGATCCTTGGTATTCATGGATTCCGTATTTGCAGATTCACCTACTCACGAGAACCTATTTATAACCCCACAGTCAGTATTGGTGGCGCTTTTGCAGTCATTCATGGGCTTGTGCAGAGTGGCAAAAATTTTAGTCCCCTGACATGCATGTTCCCAGCTGAGGTCAGGCAAGGCAATGCACTGCCTTCTTGTTTCAGCTCTCATACTACAGTATCCTTTCCACAGTCCATTTAGTGCTATGTTTTTTGCATTTTTGTGGGGTTTTTGGTGATTTTGCAGTTTAAAATAGCCCCCAAGCATAGTGCTTACGTGCTGTCTGGTGTTCCTGAGTGCGTGAAGGCTGTGATGAAGGCATGCAGAGACAAAATGGGTGCTAGGTAAGCCTTGTTTAGGCATGAATTAGACTGCTGTTGGCCATGAGTTAAGTGTTAATGAATCAACAATATATGACACATAAATACACATAAAGAAGGTGTCTTTAAATAGAAACACATATAAATCAGTCATGTGTTGATTGGTTGATGAAAATGGGCAACCCAGAGGCTCATCAGACCTGACCCTGTATTTCCTACTAGTTCAAGATTGCTACTTCAGTTTTCACTGCAACTTTGTAGAACACAGCTACCATGAATAATGAGAATCAGCTGTACTTACATACTTCTCAAAATTATGAGAATTAATTGCTTTTCTAGCATCCTCTAAAGCAGTGGTTCTTATTGAGGGGCTTTTGTGTCCCTGAGGGACATGGGAATGTCCAGACAAATTTTTGATCGTCACAACTGGGGGTGAGGTAAGTGTGCTACTGGAATTTAGTGGGTAGAGGGCAGGGATGCTGCTAAATATCCTACAATGCACAGGACAGTTCCCACAACAAAGAATTATCCAGCCCAATATGTCAAAATATCAATAGTGTTGAAGTTGAGAAACTCTGCTTTAAAAGTAAATAGTGAGTATTTTCTTCTTAACTTTTTCTTTATGAACTCAGTGGTTGATCTCTTTTAATTCATTTAAGTCATTTGTTAAGATTATTATTTTAGAAAATTTCAAATATAAAAAAAGGTATAGAGAATCCTCTAATGGACTTGTAGGTATCTGTCACCCAGCTACAACATTAACCAACTCATGACCGATCTTGTTTCCTCTATATCCCCATCATTAACCTGGATTATTTGGAGTAGCTCCAAGACATCGTATTGCTTCATCTCTAAATATATCAGTATATTTCTGTAAAGGACGGCAACTCTCTTTTATAAACATAACCACATTATCGTTATCACACTTAAATACAATTAAGAAATTACTTAATATCAAATATCCAGTCAATGTTCTCATTTTCCTGATTGTCTTACAGATTTTTAATTTAGTTTTTGAGATCCAGATAAAGCCCATACGTTGCAATTGGTTGCTATGTCTCTTTAAGTGTTTCTTTTAATCTATAGATTTCTTTCCATCTTTTTTTCTTGTTTTTTTTTGTTGTTGTTGAAAATACTGATTCATTCTGATAGAATTTTCCACTTTCTGGATTTTGCTGCACTTTCTAGATTTTGCTGGAGCCCCATGGTGTCAATTAATGTTTCTCTGTTGCCTGAATTTCCTGTTAATTGATAGTTAATCTAGAGGCTTGCTCACATTTAGGTTCTCTTTTTGGCAAGAGTACTTCCCAGGTGGTGGTGTACACATCCACGTCAGGAGACACGTACTGTGCAGCTAGCTCTCTTTTGGAGTAGGATTGATCCATTCATTGTTAAGTTCTGTTAGCCTTTCAGCAAATGGTTTAGCACCGTTGATGGTTATTAGCTAAATCTGTTAATTTCATAGGACTATAAAATGGTGATATTCTAATTCTATAATTCCTTCCATCATTGTCAGATGGAATTCATCTCTAAAGAAAAATGTTTTCTTATCAACTATTTGGTAACCCAGAATTTCAGGTCCTAAAGGAAAGATAGGATAAATATTGATCCTTTCTCTTTATTTTAGAATGAGTTGCCTCTCTGAACAGGTAAAAGAGAAAAGAATTAAAAAGACTGAGGACAGTCTAAGGGACCTCTGGGACAACATCAAGCGCACTAACATCCGTGTTATAGGTGTCCC